TGTTGCCGTGTTGAGTGATGAAGTTAAAGAGCTTGCTGTGGAGAGTGCTTCCGAACTTGTGGCCGTATTCGAAGGAGTCAAGCTCGAAGTGCTACTCGTGGCAAGGTCACTTATCGTGGTTGAGCTAGAATCTGATATAGGGGAACTAATGAGACTAGAACTCGACGAGCTGGGAACAGACGACGCTGAAATAGTCGAGCTAGACGTCAGCGCCGCCGATATCGAAGACGACACTGTTGCCTTTTCATATAACTCGAGTCTGTCACCAGCGCCGCAATACTCGTACTGGTTGCCAGCACAGACCATATTGCACTCTTCATCAGGCGCAGGAGTACTAAGGACATCTAGGGTGTTGCCACAATAGCACTCACGTCCATACTCAGTAGCCCAGTACGTGAAAGATGCGCAGTTAGAAGCGCATAGCTCCAATGTCATAGCATCGTCTGCGTAGGATGCTTCCTTCAGGGCACGACCAGAAACCTCGTTGTAGCAACCAACACGAACATATGACGATACAGTGGGTTTAGGCGCAAGTGTGGCTGTCGGAGTAGACTGGCTTGCGGTTGTGCTATACAACTCGATCCGGTTACCAGCCCCGCAGTATTGCGTGGAGTCCCCAGCACAAGCCATATTACAATCAGCAAGAGCAGCAGTTTCACTAGTTGAGTGAAGCGAGTTGCCACAATAACCTGGAACATGAAAGAGTGTGAGTCATAGAATTTTACAGCTAACATAGTATCACTCTTATTTCAAGGGAAGACTCACATTCACGTCCATACTCTGTCCCCCAGTAAACGTATCCGGTGCAGTTGCTCATACAGCTCTCCAGAGTCATAGTGTCGTAAGCGAAAGAGCCGCCGCCGAGAGCACGAGTTCCTTGGGCGGTTGATTCTGCTTGGCATCCTACTAGTCTATAACCACCTAATGTCTCTCGGTGATGTAGGGTCTCGACCGGCCCAGTGCTAGAGCTAGTTGTGCTGCTAGAAGTTACTGATGAGGTGGAAGAAATGACTGACGATGATGACGTGCTGGAACTGGTTGTCGACGATGAAGTTGTGATAACCGATGAAGAAGTCGAGGAGCTTCCAGGCGTTGTTGAAGTCTGTCCAGTCGTACATAGTGACGCCGGCGGATTCTGGAAGCTGAGGCAGGTTCCTGCTAACTCACTAGCAGCATTAAAGTCGTCCCTCAAGGCTGACGTGTCGCTACCACTGACCACATCGATTTTGGTCGCGTAGTCAAGGTCCCCAAGGCTAGTAAAGTTCGCCGTGTAAAATGTATAAGGACCTACACATGTCCCCTTTGTCATAGAAATGGTGGTGTTTTTCAGTGTAGGTATTGGGAGGTTTGGATTCCCAGTTGACTGTTTATATGAGAGGTACATATTGACAGGTAGGGAATTACGATCATTACGAACCTATCAGAAAGTCGTCAGAAACATTACATTGGGTCATTTAGAGGTGCTAGAAATACTCACTGCTGCCGTGGCTGTTAGCGTACCAGAGAGAAGACAGCTCTGGGGTTTCTGTAGAATGATGGCATCCTGCATAGGGTACGAGTTCCCATTGTTATCATAGTCTTTGGTCGTCCCGCTAGCCATGTTGAGGGTTACGGTAAAGGATGAAATACCAGTGGAAGTTGAGATGACAGCATTGATCGGAAACCACTAGAGCCATTTTAGCTTTTCTCTTTATATATAAACCTGGATTGTTTCGTCTCCTTACCACGAAAGTGTCGTCAAAGCCCTGGGTAGCACCCAGTAAGCTTGCGGTATACTTACACCCAGAACTACCGCAGTTGGTACCCCCGCTTCGATCCTTATAATTCAATACAAGGCTTGAGACAGAATCTCCTCCTAGGTTGGTAGTGAGAATGCGAATGAAGCCAGTCAGCTGCATCGTAGTGGCTCCGGAATTCAGGGCCAACTGCATATTGACCGGCTTGACCAAGTACGGCTGGATAGGATCGGAAAGGACTACGCCTGCAGGGACTGTATCGATCATTTTGCGGAGCACGACAGAACATACGTTATTGAACTGTGTGGGATCCGCCATAGCTTTGACTGTCACGTTGCTATCATAGTTAAATACTTTGAAGTCGGAATTTCTCGTGGCCCTGATGGAGGGTCCAACCACCAAAGGGTTGGTTGTGTTACCGGCAATATACTCGGTGACGACTTTATTATCGAACACATCCACGGTCGAGTCCGTTGGTGCTTCGCCATTAGCCGTCGAACCAACAGGGACTATTTGAGGAAATTCTGTTTCATGAACCCCTCCAATGGTGTGGCCGCAAGCGACCGACTGGATCATTTCCGCCCTAGTGAAACCCATCCGCAAGTATTGCTGCTCGAATGTGTAGGCAGTATTCTGCGGTAAAGGGACACCTATGGGGCCGGCTGATACCGCGTCGATTCTTCCTCCGCTGATAGGGACGACTGGGCCGCCGCAAGACCTGACGGCATAATATACACCTAGGGCGATAAGGTCCGCCACGCTCGAGCGACTCGTATAGTAATCTGCCATAAACTTAAGAGTCGTGTTGAAACCAGGTCCAAGGTTGTCCGAGCTGAGTAGCTCATATTGCAATGAGCCATCCAATCCACCGGCTCGCACATTGTTTAGGTTGGTGGTGGTAGCCATATCATGAAATGCTGCTCGCAACCACTCCGCGGCATTATGTCGCCCGGGCCCGGAGGCTTGACTCGAGCAAGGAATGACGGTACCGCCAAATTGCCTGGCTCTATAGCCACTCACTTGGTACATGATCTCTTCTAACTCGTCGTTCGGAGATGGCCATGTCGGGTCTGCGTTCGCAAGGATGCCCAGGGAGAGCATCGTCCCGAGTGACAACCTATACCAATGCATACTAGGAACTGATTTTCTCCCCTGAACCAATAATATTAAAAATTAGGAATATGAATATATAAGAGCGGGACTCTGCCTTACAACCACCAGACAGAATATTGAACGAACATCTCAAATAAGGGGATATGATAAAAGTCTGAGCAGGGAGGACTCAGGATTAAGACATACATAGAGAAACGGGGGACGCCCTAGGTGGATACGAGAGAAGACATTTTCTAACCTATTGTACAGTAGAAGATGCTTACCATCCTACAATCACGGGTGTCTCCGCCATGACGCTCCAGTGCTTGGGCAGTCTGAGGATGTTGGAGGGTGATAGTATGCGCCTAGAACCTACAACCCCCCTGCACAATCAGAATACGAGACCAGGAGACGGTGCAACGCTACCTAACAGCTAGACGCGGATTGGTCGGCGATGTTGAAGGCTTCCAGCCGCAGATGATAGCGGGGATAGCTAATGCAGGCCAGCAGATGTAGTCATATTCCCGGATCATAGGCAACTTCACTTGCTTAAAGACCGATTTCCCTCCTAGGAAATTAACTGCTGCAAGCGGGAGATCTACAATCCAACTGACGATCAGCACCAGCCTTGATGCATAGGTCGCTTGTCACCTGGACAGGTCTCAGCCGCCTCCATCCCGATGACATGGAGTTTGAGAGTACTCTGAGTGTCGAATGCTACTATACTCTCACTCGGGATGGATGGATGATCCAATTTATTCCGAGAAATCTGCCGAGTGAGGAGTGGCCCATTTCGAAATTCGGGACCTTGATCTAGCAGACCCCTGATGGAAGACGCGCTCAGTAAGTTTTGGTCTTATGCTAGCAAAGAAAACGGCGAGATGCGGTAATGACGGCTACGAAGTCGAGGGATTCGAAAGAGTCCCAAGTTATTAAGCGAGTCGCTCCGGGCCTAGCTTTCGGTCTCCTGAAAGGCCAAGGACCTAAATCTTCACTTTGGCTCTTCAGCCGCGTTGAGCGGCGTCAGGTCAGACCGCACCGCGCCAGTAGACGCTACTAAAAAGGGGTCGAGCGTAACAATGCTTCCAGAAACAATGCTCGCATCAGAAACGAGTGCATATGGTACTAAGTACCTCAGCGGTTCGTACGGCTTGCGAAAAGCTGAGACGGAGCTCGTGGCGCGTCCTGTTGTGTGTACCTACCTAGGTAGGTATATAACAAAAATTGATGTTGTAAGATGGATGTTTTCAGGGATTGCTACGACCTCAAGCACAAGGGTTCGCAAATAAGGTGGGTCCGTCGCTGATGGGTCTAAAAAGCCAAGACTGGCCACTGACCCGAACAAACCCTTATCTGCCTAGGCCCTAAGACCCCTGAGACCCTTGTTCCTGGGTCTTCTAGATCTGCAATCTCTATCGTGAGTTCCCACAATGGACCTCATCCCGTCTTACATCACATTTGTAGAGGTCCTGTTATTGGTCGCAAGCTAAGAATTTACAACACATTATCTCTTAGCTTAACAAGAGAACTTATTAGGCCAGGAAGAAAATCAAACTCTCCAATAGATGTGTAATATATGTCAGCATCTACATAGTAGAAATGGTGCCATGTTCTGTCCAAGTTGGCTATCGGTGAATATGTATGGCTCCAACGAAGCCGAAGCGATTAATTAGCCTATCTTATACGGGCCGGTCGTATCGACTAAGGCACCTCATTAGTACCTATTCAATCACAGGACGTCCTTGTTGTAAGTAACAGGCAGGTACCTACACCTAGGTAGTTTACTAACCCTTCTTTCTACTAACATATGTAATACGAGACACTTTATCACTCCCTATAATACGAGTCGAAGTAGCTTCATGTTAAAGTGAAGGCGTCTCTAAGGAGAATATGATTATAGGGTTTCGTCGAATGGATGATCACCTTAAGCGTTAAGCAGTGATATCAAGGTAATTATCTCTATTATCTAAATTCTCTATTGACAATACATGTAAGCAAATCGTGATGGTATGAAAGCTGGTAGTATCTACGCAACTTTGCTGGACTAATCTGTATCGGTCCGTCCAAACAACCCCACAATGGAAACAAAAGCTGTTAACATTCCACACAACTGGATAGCAAAGATATAGATCTGGTTGAGAGAAAATAGCCAATCGGGTACTCTGATACGAATCCGAATTGGTGTAGTGGCTAACATTTGACGCTCTCATTAACCTCTCCTTAAGTAGTTGTGTGATCCGTCAAGCCCGGGGTTCGATTCCCCGATTCGGAGATTTATTCTTTTAATTTATTTTTATTTTTAACTCTTCGGCCTTTCTCCATGCAATTGTTGGTCTCTTTCATGCACGTCACTTAAGAAGAGACACAAGAGAGAGCGAGAGAGATGCTCTCTAATTATGATTAACTGAACTATAAAGTTGATAATCCAAGTATTATAAAGTCTACGCTCATAAATGTCGGGTACTCGATTTATTATATATAAGTAAAGCATATTATAGAATTGATGGTATTTTGTAGAACTGAGACTTAAGAGGGCCACAGCAAGAGGTAATAGTCAATGCACTGAAGATGGCCGAGAATAATGAAAAGTACCTAGGTACTTAAGGTATGTACGATGTAAGTTAGGCAGATAGTGAAGGATAATGTATCAATTATTGCATATTCAAGCTGCATCGATCCAGCAAGCGGGGTAAGGTCTCAAAAAGGGAAGTCGCTTAGCCCTGGCCCGCCAAAGTGCAGCCCACAGAGAAAAATAATTTTGGGGGGTTCGCAATTGCCTCTAATTTTCCAAATCCAACAACTCCATCCGATTTTCTCGAGACCATCGCCCAGCAAGTCGAGGTACGTAAGGTCGCGCAAACCTCACTCCCACTTCTATTTTTCCTGTAATACTTTTTTGTTTCTCTTCTTTCTCTTTCCTCCATACCCTGAATCTCAGCAACTGACGAACCCCTCCTCCGTAGCATCCCGACGACTTTCACAATGGCCTCGAGACCGACCGTCACCATCATCGGTAAAGATGGTAAGCCTTCGGGCGCTACCCATACCATCCCGACCGTCTTCTCCTCTCCCATCCGGCCGGATATTGTCCAGCAGGTCCACACCGGAATGGCCAAGAACAAGCGTCAACCCTATGCCGTGAGCGAGAAGGCTGGTCACCAAACCTCTGCAGAATCTTGGGGAACTGGTTAGTGGAGAGCTCCGTTTTACCTGTCTTTTATGAGGGAGATGATGTGGCAAAATGGTGGTGAACTTGGATTCTCAATTCGGTGGATTCGATTGTCGGGCTCGTATGAAATTCCGCGCGCTGACATCCAACTCCACTAGGTCGTGCCGTTGCCCGTATTCCTCGTGTCTCTGGTGGTGGTACCCACCGTGCCGGTCAGGCTGCCTTCGGTAACATGTGCCGTTCCGGTCGCATGTTCGCCCCTACCAAGATCTGGAGAAAGTGGCACATTAAGATCAACCAGGGCCAGAAGTGAGTAGAGAATCGGATGCTAGATGCCCTGCCGAAAATGCAAAACTAACATTCGAAAAGGCGATTTGCTACCGCCTCTGCCCTCGCTGCCTCCGCCGTCGCCCCCCTACTGTTCGCCCGTGGTCACCAGATCTCTAACGTCCCTGAGGTTCCCCTGGTCATCGACTCGGCCGTATTCGAGGGAGGAGCTGCTGCCAAGACTGCCAACGCTCTAGCCATATTGAACGACGTCGGTGCCAAGGCTGATGTTGAGAAGGCTAAGAAGTCCAAGAAGCTGCGTGCCGGAAAGGGTAAGCTGCGAGGTCGCCGCCACCGCCAGCGCCGCGGCCCCCTGGTCGTTTACGACCCCGAGGTTGATGGCAAGGAGCTCGTCAAGGGATTCCGAAACCTGCCTGGTGTCGAGACTAGCTCTGTCTACGCCCTCAACCTCCTCCAGCTTGCTCCTGGTGGTCACCTGGGCCGATTCGTCGTCTGGACCTCGGCGGCTTTCAAGGCTCTCGACAAGATCTACGGCACCACTACCCAGCCTTCGGAGCTCAAGAAGGACTTCTTGTTGCCATCGAATCTGGTCTCGCAGGCCGATCTGAGTCGTTTGATCAACAGCTCTGAAGTTCAGAGCGTTCTCCGGGCCCCCAAGGGCGGTTCGTTGACCAAGCGTGCTGCTGTGCAGAAGAATCCTCTGCGCAACAAGCAGGTCATGCTGCGCTTCAACCCGTACCACTCGGCTTTCGTCAAGAATGGGCTTGGACAACAGAAGAAGGAGGCTGGCAAGCCCCCGAAGACTCCTGAGGCCTTCTTGAACATCGTTCATGAGGCATAGACCAACTTGGTGAGCAGTGTGGTCTAACAAGAGAGTGAGAAAATGGTTGCTATATCACGGCGTAATGGTTCATAGGGTTACATGAATCAAGCAATGAACTTGTCATTCCGAAAATATTCCATTCTTGTTCCCAATGCTTGTGAAATGCTTAGTAATATGGAAAGCTGATTATTATGCTAATCCTCTCACCCACCATCATTGCGGCCGTGATCTTATTATTTATTATTCAAAGTACCGCCAGTTCTACCATAAGAGAGAGGTATGCTAAGGTAGTATATCATAATAGGTGGAGAAGAGATGTGCTAACACCCTGAGGCATAGTTATCCTCGTCACGAAAATGATTCCACGTTGCTCAAAGCTACTACCTAATTTACTCCCGCGTTTGGGTACTGCTGCAGGTTACTGACGCCCATACATGACTCTATAGAGCTTTTCTTATGTTTCTTCTCAAATTTGCTGTAGCCATCCCATCTTTGTGGATCTGTTCGTAGTGCTAGAGTCGACTTGGCCTTCACATAGTTTAATCAAAGTGCTATATATACTTTCTAGACGGTCTATGAGTATTGTTAGACTAAACAGAATAATAGCCCACCCACCCTCCATCGGCACGCGTCTAGGTTAGCAGCATACGGCCACCAAAGACAAGGCTATTGACATGGTGTGATATCAGATAAGTCCAAAAAAAGATGAAAGGCCTAATTAAACGGACAACGGATCATTCTCGTCGTATACGTTAACCTAGGTACCTAGTTTAGCAGCCCATCCAAGTGGCCAGGTTCGTCAGCCCTTCTTCCGCTTCCGCACCTCCGGCCCGCAGGACCTCGTCCTCGCGCAGGATGTCCTCGAGCTCCTGGACCTTCTTGATGCGCCAGAACCTGTGCACGCCGCGCGCGAACCGCAGCGAGGAGGAGTCGAGGTTCTCGTCCGTCTCGGCGGCGAAGCACAGCCGGTAGTAGGCCCAGGCCCTCGCGGCGCGGATCTCGTCGGTGGCGCCGAACATGCCGCCGGGGGAGACGAGGACCAGGTACGGCTTGCGGGTGAGGAAGAGCATGAGGGCGTGGGAGAGCGCGACGCCGTCGACGGCGTTGCCCCCGGACCCGGCGGCCCCCCACAGCGGGTGCGTCTCGAAGCGCACCCGCAGCCAGAGGAACATGCCGCCGCGGGGCCAGGCGAAGTCGTACAGGCGCGTCTTGGTGATGACGCCCCAGTCGGCGTCGGACTCGCGGATCGGCGTCGACTGCTTGAGCTGGTAGGCGTTGTCCTCGAGGGCGCGGCACATGCGGTTCATGCGGCGCTCGTACTCGCCGCGCAGGCCGGCGAGCCACCGCACCCAGCCGTCCGTCTTCCAGCCGCTGAAGGCGGGCCGGCCCCTCCAGGGCCAGGAGGCGAAGGCGGCCTTGGCCGCGTCCGGCTGGGGGCCCATGATCGCCTCGGCGATGACGACCTGGACGAACCCCGAGGGCTGCTGCGTGCCCGACTCGCTTATGCGCAGGACACGCTCGCAGATCTGCGGCGTGGCCGTTATCCACCCCAGGCGGCACCCGGGCGCGACCGTCTTGGAGAACGTGTCTAGCCTCACCACGCGGCCGTCGACGTCGATGCTCAGGAAGGACGGCACCAGCGAGTCTAGGAAGGGGTAGCCCGACTTCTTCTCTAGGGTATTGGCCGGCTTGGGCTCGGGGATGGGTTGATCCCGGGCTTTTGCCTCCTCTATCTCGGCTGACGGATACTGCAGGTACCAGTAGGGGTCGTCCTCGATGATGACCACGTCATACTTGCTGCATAACGCATAGATCTCCCTCCGCCGCTGCAGCGACAGGACGCTACTTGTGGGGTTATGGCCTATCCTGTAATTGCCTCCGTGTTAGTATGCAAGACCGCAAGAGAGAGGGAGAGCATTGGGGGGGGGCGAGGTTAATTAACTTACGTGACGGTGTACATGATATGGGGTCGCCTCCCCTTGCTATGATCCCAGTTCGCGAGCACGTCCTCCAGACCACCGGGACCATGCGGGGCCATGCCCTCGCCGTCCATCTCGACGGGCACGACGCGGACGCCCCTCGGCGCGGCCTGGCCGGCGGCGTTGCCGTACATGAAGGTCTCGGTCAGCATGCCGGGCCGGTCGCGGACGTCGCTCTTGCCCGGGACCCAGACGTCGGTGAACAGCTCGAGCGCCTTGGACATGCCGTCGGTAGCGCCGACGGTCAGGATGACCTCGGGCCCGCCGCGGTACGGCACGTTGGGGTGCAGGCACTCGCGCGCGAACTGCCGCACGAACGAGAGCAGCGGCGGGTACCCGTTCGCCTGGCCGTACTGCAGCGCCGTCGCCAGGTCGATCTTGCGCGCCGGGTCCGAGGCCTCGGCGTCGTGCGGCACCACGACGTGCGAGGCGGCGCGCGGGTCCGTCCTCGAGGGGGGCCGGTCAGCGGTGTCGGCGGCGGCGGCGGCGGCGGCGGTGGCGGCGGCGCCCAGATGATTCGGCGTCGGGGTCCATCGGATCGGCTTGGCCGTCTGGGCCTCGAGGGTGTCGAACGGGAAGAACTTGGCGTTGGGGAGACCTAAGAAAGAAAAAGAAAAAAGACCAATCAGCTTCGGAGCGGTCTGGGATAGTAGGTCTTACAGGTAGGTAGGTAGGTGGCTGGAATGATGGCATTGGGTGGGGACGTAGGTAGGTATTTATTAGAATGATATGATAGATAAGCTACGCACCGCCGGCAAGGTTGCTTACTCCTGGGATCTGGAAGTACTTGTAATATTGCTTCATCGAACTGGGCACTCGGGCCTTGGTCACGTCGGAGTAGAGGTGGCTCAGGTCCTTTGGCAGAGGTTTCGCCGTGTCGGCGCCGCGAACGGTTTCGTCCATGATAAGGGAGGGAGAGAGAGAGAGAGAGAGAGAGAGAGAGAAAGGACTAGGTACTAGGTACTAGGTAGGTAGATGTGATCTACATAAGCAGATGGCTTATACCTGAGTGC